GTGAGGTTTGGTTTCCTCCTTTTCTTTACCTCTTTGCCTTTTGGCTGCGTGCAAGTGGGTCCTTGTGGCTCACGGGGATGGGGCAGCCGGCGCTCAACCTGTCATCCATGTGGCCGGCCTTGTACGTAAGAGGTGATGAATAGGCGGAGCTTTCTTTCCTTACTTCTTTCCTTTTTTTGTTTTGTCTTTTTTTTTGCCTTTGCGCTCCGATACACGGTTTGACGATATATATTGTCACAGCCCCTCGTTTGTTGTCCTCTTCTCCCTCTCTGCCTACAGTTTACCGGGCAGTATATTCTGTTTGACGATATATGAATCAGTGCAGGAGCTTTGTACCGGACTAGGTAGGATGCATATGGCTGATATTATTATGGATTAAAGCTCATAAAACGAGCGCGCGCACTCTCTCGCAAACAATCAATCGATGCTCCTGTGCATTCAATCTGTACGGGCGTATGGAAAACACATGAAATCATATTCATAGGGCAAACATGAGGCTATCAAAATTGACGAGGATGCATCAGGGCGGGAAATGCTGAAATTCGACTTCCTTGCAGCAAATTTGTTAGGGATATGACCTCCTCCGCTCCCTCCTCGTGCCCTGTAAGTAGGACCAGCCGCCTCACATGCAAGGAACCCGACTGTTCATCACTTGCTGGAGTGCATCAGATCACATGCATATACACAGATTTCACAGATTGCGATGTCTCACACAAAACCCAATAGAAGATGAATGAGATCCAGGAAGCTCAACTCAATTATCATAACCAGATTAAGAGAGGAAATTCGTGAGTCCAAAATGTATAGCGCTGAACAGAATTACAAGTCTTCTTCGATCAACATGAGTTCCAAGCCTGGTGCTCATCAGCGCCAGCTGCCAAACGTCAACAACAGTGCTCAACAGGTAAGTGTCACCATAACTCACACCTCCCCTTCTCTTGTCTGCCTTCTTCTCTCTCTCCCTCTATGTCTATTGTCCTGGTCTACTCCCACTCATCATGCATGCACACTCCCTATCACACGAGGATCTACTCTGAATACTACTCACTGAACCCTTATACTAACTATTCCCACTAATGTACTAACTGGCGCTGGCACAGCTATGGCTGCCTTCCTTCCAGCCAGCGCTCCACTCCTCTTCCTCACACATAGTGCTGCTCACAGCCTAGCGCAGCTCACACACATCTGGTGCACAAGTGCCACGGCACTTCCACACTCTCATGCGAAATGCGAAGTGAGCATCTGTCCAAATGGGAGGCTGGCCAGTCCTTTATAGTGCTGGACTGGTCTGGCGTGGCCTGCGTTCAGCCTCAGGTGTACCTGGGACTCCTGCCCAGTACCTTTTGTTGTAAGGTGTGTGTCCCAGTATCTTTTCCCATGGTCTGCTGCTGCTTTGGGCCATCGGGCCTGTCTTTTGGACTCCTGGTGTGAATCAGGACTGACTCGTGGGATTATGACTGGACTGGGACTGTGGCCTTTGACTCATTGCCGAACAGACATGCCTTTCCATCGAGGAGACATGACCCTAACTCAGTCTAGAAAACTGCGTCGAATACCTGTTCGTGCGGGACCTGTTTGTGACCTTTCAAAACGACTTTTCATCTCATTCTGGATGCGACATATGCGCCAGGGAACTTGTCTTTTGGGTTGCTGTTCGTGAATTTAAGTTCTGGCCGACAGGGCCCCTCGCTGTTGGGGTACGCATCTGGGGTCTAATTCGTGAAGGCCCTTTTACACATCATAGAACCCCAGGATCCGACAGAAGGATAGTGAAGGAACTGCTTTTTTTGAGGAGCGCGAGTACACGCAGGTATTGCGCGCCAATGTGGTCGTGCAAGCCACAGCGCCTGCTCGCTTGGACGTCAAGAATGTGTCCCTCATGGGGGGTAATGATGCAGCGACCTGCGCTTCGCATCTCTTTGTGTGTGATGTTCCAGTGGTCGATACTTCGTCGCTGTCGCTAGCGGGCTGAGCGACGATGGCCCAGGGAAAGGGCAGTGCACGCCAAGGATGAGGAACAACAGCAGCAGTAACTTCAGGAGGAGGCAAAGGAGGGGGAGGGAGAAGGTGGGGGGTAGAAGGAGAGCGAGGAGCGGGAAGGAAAAGGAGAAAGGCAGGGTTAACGGGGTGGAGAGATGCAGAGTGAGAAGTAATAGTAGTAGGAGAAGGAGCAGGAGCAGGAGCAGGAGCAGGAGGAGCAGGGGCAAGAAAAGGAAAAAGAGGAACATGAGGAGAGGGGGGGGGGAGGAGGAGGAGGAGGAGGAGGAGGAGGAGAGGGCTACATGAGGATGACACACTTCATAAGGATTCTGAGAACAGTGCCGTTTGGAGTGCCTTCCCGATTCTCGATGATGAGCCGAAGGCGTCATCGGGAAATTACTTCCATAGAACTAGGATTTTTTTGGAACATGTTAGTTGCATATGTTCTTCCAGTGATGCTGTGATCAATTGCGGATATGCGCAGATTACAGCATCCCTGGAGTAATAATTGTGAATCCTGTCTATGTTCGCATAGTCATGATTCTGATTCTGAATCACTCCCAGCTGGTTGAGTTTGTCTTTTTTTTTCTGCTTGCTGTATTTGCATTCACTATCATCACAAGCTCCCTCCACGGAAAGCTTCCCTCTCACACTGCGCTTGTGGCATACTGATACCACATGGGCCCCAGTTAGGACCGGGTTCGGTAGCAGGCACAGTTCAGGCCTAGTTACCAGGTCACAACAGGCCCAATTTAGGTCCAGGTAGGCCTAGGACCCCTCGGTTCAGTTTAGGGTCCGGTAGGCCTCGTTTAGACCCCACCAGACTCAACGGCTAGTTGTTTAGGCCAGGTACCGGTCCATCGGTAGGCCCAATCGGTGGCGCGGTTTTGGCGCCCACTTTTCGGATTCCGAAATCGGATCTGAACCGTTGGGCCTGATCAACGGTCCAGATCCGAAGGCCCTCAGTAGGACTGAGGCCGACCCAGCACTATATCAGCTGGGTACCAACCTCAGTCGGTAAGTTAGTAGACAGGAGGTTAGTCTTCAGGATTAGTGCAGCGCTTAGTAGACAGGAGGTTAGTCTTCAGGATTAGTGCAGCGCTTCAGCGTTAGCAGGATTAGCGCAGCGCAGCAGCGTTAGTATGAGCAGCGAGGAGAGACGAGTGCAGCGGCGAGGAGGAACCAGCGCAGCAGTTGGACAGCGCCAGCCACCGGCCCAGCCCGCGGCCCAGCGCCAGCCTCCTGCAGCGCCATAGCTACCGGGTCAGGTACCAGGGAGGAAGGCCTTGCCTTCTCTCCCTCTTCCTCCTCGGCCACTCTCTCTCTCTCGTTCTCTCTCTCTCTCTCCTCCTACCCTCTAAGTCTAAGTCTACTCCTGGGTTTCTCCTACGGGACTACTACGAGTATGAAGGATGGTGACGAGTTCTGAGTACATTGGAGACAGCGACATTGAGACTGTAGGTTGAGGACTAGTCTTGGGATCTGATTTCATCTTCTTCTGAAGAAGCACCTTGACATTGTGAGATCGATATCTGAGACGTTGTGAGACTCTGTGTTCGCGGCATTTCGCATTTGCGCTACTCTTGACAGTACAAGATACTATCTTTCGAAATATTAAGTTGATGTCTTGTGTATGATCTCAGACCCTGGCCTTTCTTCTATGTCCAAGGCCAGGGCTTTCACATCACTGATGCATGATTGAGAGTGTTCGATTGCAGTCCGAGTCAGGTCAGAGTCGGTCCATGGGTATCAACTCTTCCGCTGTATTTGTATTAACTCTGTATTATCTGGTCGGTTCTGGGAATCTGCGCCATACTTATGACTGTGTTTCACGAGTATGCAACAGCCCTTCTGGTTGGTTGGTTGGTTGGTTGGTTGTGACGCTTCATGTTGGGGTCGTACTGATGCTGTCCGATACAATGGTTGCTTTCTGTAAGCTAGACCAATAAATGAGAGGAGAGAGTTGGATGAACGTTGTCTTTGTGTACGCAATAATATTCACCAACAAAGCATCCAACAACATAGCATTCAACAGTGGAAAAAACTATGCATGCCTTGTGCGGCTAACTTCATGAACAAACAGATCATGAGTTCATATCCTGCGCAATATTCACCAACAAAGCAGACAGCAACATAGCATTCAATGGTGGAAACCCTATATCTGCCTTGTGTGGCTGAACAGTGCACGCACAAGTAACTGTGCGAACAACAAGATCATGAGCTCGGATCCTTGCCAATATTTACCAACAAAGCACCCAGCAACATGGCATTCAACAGTGGAAAGAACTACACCGGCGCTGTGCAGCTAAACAGTGGACAAACATGGAACTTAGAAAAAAGACCACGAGTTCAAATTCTGCCCAACAACGTTCACCAGCAAAGCATCCGAAAACATAGCATTCAACTGTGGAAGAAACTATACCTGCCTTGTGCGGCTGAACCGTGCACACACCCGTAACTGTTAACAAATGGATCATGAGTTCAAACTCTGGCAACAACATTCTCCAGCAAAGCATGACAGCATAGCATTCAACAGGGCCTTGTGCTCTTGAACCATGCTACACATGTAATAACTGTTAACAAAACGGATTCTTTTTCATTTTTATTTTTTAATAAATTGCATGCAAGTAATAGTTGAGGCCGGGGGCCTCACAAAACTCCGGAACAAGGGAAAATACTGAGAGCATAAATCAGCTTCGCTTATTCATCAACCATCAAATCAGCAGCTTTGAGAAGGTTTCCTTTGTCGTACGGGAAATCGTATGTCCGAGATCTTGACAACTGGGGTCCTGGACATCTGCCCCCCCAAGTGTCTGGGCATAGGCCACTTGGTAACCTAGTACTTATAAATAATGTTGGGGTCTATCCCTCTCTTCAGAAGAGTAGAGAAAAGGCAGTGGAAGATTGGATGAACGGCTGGATGGGCGTTTTAACAATAGACAATGAAAACCATATATTTTGGGAAAATACAAAGTGTCCTAGGATGACTGTTTATGCTTGTCCGGGTTTCTTTGTTGCAGTTTGATTGTGGGATTCATCCAGCCTACTCCGGAATGGCGGCTTTGCCATATTTTGATGAAATTGATCCCTCGACAGTCGATGTGCTTCTCATCACCCAGTATGTTTTCTGAACTCTGGCTCTGTTTGCTCACATCGTTCTCTATTCTCTCTCTCCCCTTTAATTTTTTCCCCCAATAATTTCTACCAGGTCTCAATTTGTGCTCATCATTTTTTCACAGGGCCATGGTAAGATTCTTCGCTGTATCGTTCCAATTTTAACGGATGTGATAGCCGGAAGGACTCCTCACATCCTGCTTGACCGAGCAAGCACAGCTAGATATTCCGACTTTATGCTATGTTTCCACTACTCTCTCCCACTAGCCCCTAAGTTAATCTGTCTCTCCCTGTTACTCTGTTTGTCTCTCTATCTCCTTTCCCCCAGCCCTCTTCTCTCTCTCGCTCTCCCTCTCTCTTTCTCATGCTCATGCTCTGTTTGTCACCGGATGCCTTCGTGGTGACTTCTTTTGTTTTTCTGCTCTCATTGCTCGCACTACCATTCTCTTGTCATTCTGGCTTTTGGTCTCTCAGACATCTTCTTCTCCTTCTCCTTTGCAAATGATTTTCTTTTAGCATATGATGAGATGATGACATCACACTTGGTCAGCAAAGTCGATTTTGTGGTCAGTTCATTGCACATCATGTGCACTTTGATCGATCCTTGCTTGCTTGTCGGTAACGGTTCTTCTCCTTTCCACAAGGTATCCCTTTGAACCATTCTTGTCCCGTATTCTTCCAAACTGCAATTTTTTGACGGGGGATGCTAAGTAATTGGAAGAGTAGTTCTTGGGATGCTCTCAGATATACATGGATGAGGCTCAGCTGCCACTACGAAATGAATGCTGTCTTGCTTAAACTCCTCCCCCCACCCCCCTCGAAAAAAAAAAAACCACCTGTCAACTCTACTTCTCTTCATCTTTCTACTTCGTGCTGCAGTTGGTTCTTTCTGGAGAGCTCATCATTTTATTCTTGTATGCTCTTCCTTGCATACCACTCCTTGTTCTTTCTGAGGTGTATGAACGGCTGGCTTGCACCTCCTGTGGACTCTAACGCACTCCTTTTTTTTTTTTTTTTAATGTGTGTGTGTATTGATTGGTGTGTTTTGGCAGCTGTCATTTGGACCATTCTGCGTCCCTTCCATACTTCCTAGAAAAGGTTGGACTCGACCTTGGCTCAGGTGTTCTCGAACCCTAGCTCTATCTGATCCATTCACCAGTTTGTCACTCAAGGGGGAAAATGGGGGTGCGTCTGGGGCGTGCATGGGACTCTGTCCATTTTGGGGAAGTGCATTGCTGTGAAAGGTTATGTGAGCTGATGTGGCTAGGTTTTGCTTGCATATATTCTGTTGAAATATTATGTTGAACAGGGTCACCAGCCCGTACGTACGGAGGTCCCCGGACAGACCTCCGTACGTACGGGCGTTCGGGGTCCCGTACGGGGTCCAAACCCGACGGCGTTCGGCCCCCGCCAAAAATTATTTCGGGGCCTAAAAATAATTGTTTTTTAATGATTTTTTTTCTGTGAGTTCTCTATGACGTCAGGTACATGCCTATAAATTTTCAAGTCATTTAGCTCAGCCAAATAAGAATAAAAAATTGCCAAAGATGGCGGTGTCAAAACGTGCTCGCCCACGTTGTTTTTCACTTTTTACTTATTGTTTTCACTTTAGTTCGGGTTCTAAAGAATTTTATTATTTTTTAAAACTTTTTTAGTGGGTTTTAAATTATGTAAAGTACACATTTGTAAATTTTCAGGGCATTTAGCTATGCCAAAAAAAAAATGAAAAATCGCCAAAGATGGCGGTGTCGAAAACGTGCTCATGCACTCACTAATTTTTTGTTTTTGTTTTGTTATTTTTATTATTAGTATTTGTTTTTCGTATTTTATTTTTATTTCAAATTTGGTAAGGAATTTGGATGTTATGCTCAGGCAAATCTTGTTTAATTTATTTTTCTTCATAACATATCTTTTTTTCAGATTTTTTAGATTTTTATTTTTTTGATTTTTATTTTTTTGATTTTTATTTTTATTTTTTATTTTTTTTGGGTCCGCGTTCGGCCCGAACGGCCGAACGCATCCCCAAGGGGTCCCATACGTTCGGGCGCTCGGGTTCGGGCGTTCGGCCGGTCCCGAACGCCGGTTACCCTGATGTAGAACGTGTTTTGATGTGGAGGTTTTTGAAATACTTCTGAAGTTCTTAGGTCATATTCACACTTAGACTTGACAGCAAGATATGTTACAGAAAATCCTAGTGTGAGTATTCCCTTAGGGGTAGTTCTCCCCTTTTGTAGCTTGAACTTTCTCTGGGCGTTTGGGGCATTTTGTGGAGTTCCTGTGATGTCCCCATGGTCACCAGCACACACATGTTACATGCTGAAAGCCTACACACGGGCCCCTCACGGGACCCGAGGTTGGAATAGGGGCCCCAGGTCGCGTCACCGCAACCTGAAGGCCCTATGGCATTTTTAGTTGGGCCTGCATCAGAAAAACGCCAGCTTTATATTATTTTTATAGTCTTTATTTTATTTATTTGCTGGTGTTTTTCTAACGGGTGTACTGTCGTCCGTTTTGTGGCCAGGTACACGCTTCTAGGGCCAGGGCCAGATTCAGGCCCAGAGGCTGAGCTCCTAAAAACGTTTGGACCTTTTCTTTTGTTTTCGAACAGATTTTGACCTGTTCGAACCCAGGCCGATGTTGAGGCCGGGTACGTCCGCACAGGACCGGTTTGAAGCCAGGTACCAGGAAGATTAATCCTGGACAGGGCCTGGACGTCCGGTAGGGACCCAGGCAGRCCKTTTTAGGCCAAGGACTGAACCAGTTTTCGAAGCCTGCAATCTGGACCGTGGATCGGAGTTTCGATCTGCACGGTCCAGAACGCAGGCCGTGGGTTTTCAGTCCTGGCCCAGCA